ATACCATTAGTAATCCACTGATTATTGTATGCAGCATTTACCACTAATTGCATTGGAAAACACGATTCAAAAATAACTAAGAAAGTATTCAAGAATGTATTGAAACTAGCATTAACATCTGTGTTACTGAGGGTATTGTCCCATTTCTCATTTTGCAACATGTCAATAAAATTTAGGACTCTAGACTTGGTTAATAGTCTTTTCCTAACAAGTCTATTCTTTTCCATTTGAGTTCCAAAAACATTATTTACCACTAGATATTGTGCGTCATGATCAGAAAGCCCATTGTTTACAGAGCACACTTGGAAGGTATTTAATCTATTATAGTCCAAAAAATATTGTCTATAGCAGTACTTGACACTTTAGCTATCCTTGTAGGGAAGTCAACAACATGGCACAAGTTATACGTTTGCAAAAGTGATTGTCTTGATTGTCTCTCCTATGGATAATATAATTACATAGCTTATGTATCCACTACAACTGTATCAGTGTTTGTATTACTGTATATGACTGCACTAATTTATAGTGGTCTTAGCGTTTTCATTTATCCTTGTAGGGTTAGGAATGTATATTTTATTATCTTATGTTCAAACATGGTTATGAATGTATATTTTATTATTTTATGTCGAAACATGACAGATTCTATATCCAATAGGTTGGTTTGACCTTATATGGATTGACAGAATGCAATAAATAAATGAAATGAAATGGATAATGGGAAATCATTTGTGTAAATAAAGAACAATAATGGCCCCAATAGGGAGCCTTGTGGAACTCAACTAGTTCCAATTTTGAAGACACTTTATTAAGTTTGATATCTTTCATTAATACTCTCTGATATCTATTTTGTAAGTATGGTCTCATTAACTTATTTACCATGCATGAGATTCCATAGAATTCCATTTTTTGCCAGGAGTATGTTGCGGTTAACACAGTCAAACACTTTTTGTAGGTCACAGAATAAACCACCAACATAATTCTTTTTGTCTAAAGAAGACAATATATTATTTAAAAGAATATGTGTTGCCATTTCAGTAGATGGTTTTTCTCTAAATCCAAATTGTTCAGTGACCAATATATTGTGCTTATTTATATGGAAGTAGAATCTTTCATAAATGGTTTTTTCGATAATTTTGGAAAAAGTTGGGAGGCGTGAGATAGGCCTGTAATTTGTAAATTCTGATTTATCACCCTTCTTGTATAAAGGCTTAATTTCTGAGAATTTCAATCTATCAGGGAATATACACGTTTCTAGGATCTGGTTAAATATGTATGTTAAGGGTCATAAGACATATGGAGCACTAAATTTGAGAATTCTTAATGATATCATATCCATGAGAGTTCTTAGGTTTTAGTGAAGATATTATTTTTTCAATTTCATGGGTATTCGTATTACTAAGTTTCACAGATGGAAACGAATGATAAAAATTCTGATGTAAATAAGATAAAGAATCTTTATTATTAACAGTGGCTTTCCCCGAGGAGTTTTTGATAAATAATTTTTCGGCCACAGATGAGAAGTAATTGTTAAATGCATTTGCTATTGCTAGGGAGTTACCAGATCGTTGTTTTTTAAAGTTCACTGTACTTACATTCTCATTAGGCCCTTTATAATTTGTAATGGTTTTTACTATATTCCAAGTAGTTCTAGTCTTATTGTTCGATTTTAATAAAAGCTTATTATAATAGTATTTTTTTGCTGTCATAGGCTTGGTCTTGCTTGCCTTGGTCTTCCCAGTGGTCTCTTTCCTTCTGGCTTTCCCACCAATATCCTATATGCATTCATCTCCCCCATACATGCTACATGCCCTGCCCACCTCATCCTCATTGACTTGATCAATCTAATTATACTTGTAGTATACTGTAGTAGTTATTGGGGGATATCAATACTATGAACTTCATACAAAATTTTATCCAATATTCTTCTCTCAAGGTTAAGTCCATACATAGATGAAACTATTGGAGATCATCAGTGTGGATTTCAATGTAACAGATCAACTACAGATCAGACCTTTTGCTTTTGTCAGATATTGAGAAAAAATGGGAGTACAATGAGAGTACATCAGCTATTCATAGACTTCAAGAAAGCCTATGATTCAGTTAGGAGGGAAGTATTGTACAATATTCTGATACAGTTTGGGATACCCATGAAACTAGTTAGGTTGATTAAAATGTGTTTAAACGAAACGTAAAGTAAAGTCTGTATAGGTAAACATTTGTCTGATAAATTTCCAATCCAGAATGGTCTAAAACAAGGAGATGCTTTATCACCACTCCTTTTCAAATTTGCTTTAGAATATGGCATTAGGAACATCCTGGAAAACCAGTTGGGACTGAAATTAAACGGGACACATCAGCTGTTGGCCTATGCCGATGATGTGAATCTACAGGGCGACAATATAGATACCATAAAGAAAAACACATAAACATTAATTGACGCAAGTAAAGAGGTTGGTCTAGAAGTAAATACAAAGAAAACTAAGTATATGTTGCTGTCTTATCACTAAAATGCATGGCAAAATCATGACACAAAGATAGGAAACAGATGTTTTGAAAATGTGGCACAGTTCAGATATTTCGGAACAACGATAACATATCAAAAACTGATTCAGGAAGAAATTAAGAAGAGATTGAACTTGGGTAATGCTTGCTACCATTCAGTCCAGAACCATTTGTCTTCTTGTCTGCTGTCAAAAAACATAACATTAGAATATACAAAACTATAATTTTGCCTGTGGTTCTGTATGGGTGAGAAACTTGGTCTCTCGACATTAAGGGAGGAACATAGACTGAGGGTGTTTGAGAACAGGGTGTTGAGCAGAATATTTGGATTGAAGAGAGATGAAGTGACAGGAGGTTGAAGATAACTGCATAATGCCATATAACAACCAAAAACCCTTACATTGTATGAAATTTGCAACTTTTCCTTACTTCCAACCTTCTTAAAACCACAATGTTCTGGAATGTGATGTCATGTAGCGTAGCAGATGGCTATCAATGTTTCAAAGGATCTGCTGCCTCCAACTTCAGGTTACTCTCGGCATAAAATCCCAGAAGACTACTCATTAATATTCACATCTGCATAGACCTCAAATCTCATGAGGATCTCACTGTTTCAGACAACTGTCTATAGGAAATTCATCAAATATACTTTTTATACAAACTTTACAACAGATTTCATTTCTAGGCAAAAGGTATATATTACAGAAGTACATCACATTCTGTATTTGTTTGGTCTGTAATTCCTGTAAAGGCCCTGCTATCTAGACAACGACAGAAGCTGACTGCAATCACAGCTAACTTCTGCTTTTGTACCACTTTCATATTTGACCACTAGAGTAAAATAAACTAAGAAAAAAATCTATGATGATATTATGCTAATATGAGGGGTGCTCAAGTTCTAAGGTCTCCGAATTTTTTTCTCAGGACTGGACGCAGATAGACACATGCGGTTTAGTTTAAAATACATGTGCACCAGACGGTCTGACAATATGGTCGAGCAAGTTGAGAAAGTTGTTTTGGAGGATCGCCGATTGAGTGTGGAAAACATCGCCTCCAAAACTGGCATTTCTGTGGGATCTGTGCACACAATCCTGCATGAAGACCTGCGAATGCATAAAGAGTCCTCCAGATGGGTGCCATGAATGTTGGCGGACGACCATAAGGCTGCGCGCGTGGCAATTTGCCAGGACTTTCGTTTCATCAATTGTGACAATGGATGAGACATGGATGCCATTTTTCAATCCTGAAACGAAGCGCCAGTGCTGAAAAAATGATGGTGGCCGCGTTTTGGGACAGTGATTGCATAATCCTTACTCATTGCATTCCAAAGGGCACTACGGTGACAGGTGCATCATACCAAGATGTTTTGAAGAACAAGCTCCTTCCAGCACTGCAAGAGAAAAGGCTGCATGTGTGCTCTTTCACCAGGACAATGCACCAGCACATCGGGCATATGCGACACAGCAGTTTCTTCATGAAAACAACCTTGAAGTGGTTTCTCATGCTCCCTACTCACCTGACCTGGCTCCTAGCGGTTTTTGGTTTTTCCCAACGATGAAAGACACTCTCCGTGGTTGCACATTCATCAGTTGTGCCGCTATTGCATCAGCGATTTTCCAGTGGTCAAAACAGACTCCTACAGAAGTGTTCGCAGCAGCCATGGAATCATGGCATTGACGTTGTGAAAAAAGTGTACAGCTGCAGGGAGATTACGTTGAAAAGTGACAGAAGTTTCAAATTTTTTGTATGATTATTGTGTGAGAAAAAATTCCGAGACCTTAGAACTCGAACACACAACGTAATGTCAGGAATATCATGCAGATATTAAAGGCAAAGTTGTCCCCACGTTTAATTAAACACCATGTCATGAAGGTGTATAGGGCAGTGGAAGCATAGCTCCATTATTCATGACCTTGGTGAGTGGTCAGCTTCATTATCTGGTTGCTTTACCCCTCAGGAAAAAAAAAAACAATACTCAATGGCTATGAGGCTGGGTAGGCCCCAGAGCCTGTCAGGGCACTGCAGAGTAAAATCTCTTGTCTCTGCCAGTAATCAAACCCCAGTCATCCAGCTTGTAATTCATCACAATACCAGCTTTGAGTTTACACTGTATTTCCAATCACATATTCAATTATGCTCACATATAAATCTATTTAAACATACTATCAGGGCTCGAGGTGGGGCGGGATGTGGTGGGATGGCATCCCGGTTCTTTTCTAAATGGCTTAAAAGCAACCCCTTACTTCTCTGGCAGTAAATGCACTGTACAATACCCAGGGCTTGAGGTGGGGCGGGATGCGGCAGGATGGCATCCCGGTTCTATTTTCATTCCACCTCAAGCACTGCATACTATTGTCCATAACTTGAACATTTATTATAAAATGTGAACAAATTATTCTAACTGTTGACAGATCTTAAGATTTCAAAGATTTGGAGCCACAGAAGTAGGTCAAATTGATTTATAATTTAAATTAATGTACAAAGTTAGGTTAGGTTACCTAGGAGGCTCTTAATTGGTACTTCTGTTCCTGGTCCATACTGCATAAGCTTGTTGCTGAAGTATTCCACAGCTTCCTGTGCATAGTCCCTCTTCCCTCCGACATACTTCAGACCAATATCCTGCTGGGTGTCTACAGGGGCGGTAAATGCATTGACATACACATAGTCTCCATCGATTGAGAAAAGCGAAGGGTATTGTGCCAAGAACTTTCTTAGTCCAGACTGCGAACCTCCGGCAATTTGACGCATTTCCTTCGTAAATCCTTTCGCGCCAAACTGACAGCTCAGATCATGCAACGTCCTAGGTCCGCCCTTATCCAAAAGTCGCTCCAGAAAGAAGAGCAAAGTTAGGTTGCGGACAAGTTCATATTCGTTGCTCTCCATTGTCACTTTAAATTGTCTTCATAATTATAATACACATCCCCAGTTTGTTCAGTGCACTTCCCCAATTAATTTGATGTTTTTTAATTGTCCTTGACGGCGTCTTATCTTCGTTAGAAGTCCGACACAACGGACTTCGCGAAAACTAGGACATTCCGCAAGCCGACATGTTGCATTCCTGACCTTACATGACGTTTCACCACGTGTGTCAAATTACGACCATTGAATACAAAATCAACAAGGAGTCGAGGCAGAAGTTACGAAGCTTACTTCCCTGTTGATCAATCTGTTAACCCTAGAAATGTTTTGTTAGTATTATGTACTGTACTAGTCTAACAGTAACATACAATTTAGCACGTGGGTTAGCGTAATGGGTCCCGGGTTAGGTAGTCGAACAGTGAAATGATAGTGGAGCAGGAATTTCTTATTGCTTGCAATTAAGCACGTTACATGGGCCGCGCCATATTTCAAGCGGTTAGTCGCTGGCTTCGATCCCGGGTCTGGTCAAGTGGGATTTGTGGTGGACAAAGTGGGGTTCTCTCCGAGTACACGCTACAATAGGCCCATCAGTGGCTGCCGTGCCGAGTGGACTCAGTTGGACTCCGCCCCACACTAAGCGAATTAAAAAAATGGAAAAAAAAACACGTCACATATTATTATTGTTATTACTATTATTATCATCATCATCATCGAGAGCGATAGTAGTAACAGTGACTTATTTATGTGAGTAGTAAGGACATTATACATCAAATTTGTCGAGCATAACCTCTAAGATTCGCAGTTTAGCCATGTTTGTTGTATAAGTTTATTAAAGTGTTCTTCTACACCACTTGGTTGTGGGCGATGTTGCCGACGTTTCTCAGCTGCAGAATGACTCCGTCTTCAGGGTCGAAGTGCTTAGGTTGGTGAGATGTATATATAGCTTTCTGTTTTGATCAGGAACGGGGCCAGGGGGCATAGAGTGATTTGTGTCTCATTTTGGCTAGTCAGAACAGTGGTATGGGAGAGTTATGCAGACAGTCCTTTTAAGATCCCAGAAATGCATAACAGATTCTGTCCACAAGCGATGGTCTTGAGTGGTCACTTTAACGTCTCAACTGTGACTCAAGCGGCATAGAGAGGTGGGGAGATCACCACACCTAGTCGGTAGCTTTTCTAAGGGACCGGAGGAAGAAGAGTGTATCTTAGAAGGGAGTGGGACCTAGATGGGGCCTGGGGGGGAGGGAGGGCCCCATTGTGGAGTTGTAGCAGCTGTTACTCCACCTGGCATGAGTTTTATGTGGAGTATGTTTTTAACATGCTCTCTGCTGTTTAATTGTCTGGATGATCATCTTCCAGGGAGGGCTTAGTCAGTATGTACCTTTTTTTTATTAAATTTGTGATGTAGGTTGATTTCAGTGGCTTCCCACATACCTCTGCCATAGAAATTGATGATTTATGATTTGTTAACATCAGAATTACAATCAATTTACATCCCATATATCTTTTATAGGCCTAGAACAAGGATGTGAAACATACAAGTATCATAATGCACATTCAGTATTCAGTACTTCACTAATGTTACCACTGTCAAACAAAAACATACACATATGTAGATATGGGGCAGCTATCATATTCCTTTTTTACATTCTACAAGAACATTCTCTCTAATTGTAGATCAGTAAATGCCTTTGACTTTGAAATTGCAAATACAAAGTAGAAAAGTATAAAATGCCAGGTAGTGATAAAGTTCTGGCAGAACTGATGCAAGCAGAAGGTGAAACATTGAGTCCCATAAACTCGTTAATTCTGTTTGGAGTATGGAAGAATTTCCTGATAAGTGGAAGGAGGCAATTATTTTACCACTTTACAAGAAAGGTATTACTGACTGTAGTAATTGTTATAGGATATCACGGTTATCAACATCATGCTAAATTTTTTCCAATATCCTTCCCTCAATGTTAGGTCCATATGTAGACGAAATTATTGGGGACCATCAGTGGGTTTTGATGTAACAGATGAACTGATGATCAGATTTTTATATTCACCAGATACTGGAGAAAAAATGGGACTACAATTAGACAGCATGTCAGCTATTCACAGACTTCAAGAAAGTATGATTCAGTTAAGACAGAAGTATTGTACAGTATTCTCATAGAGTTTGGGGTACCCATGAAACTAGTTAGGCTGATTAAAATGTGTTTAAGTGAAAAATATAGTAAAGTCTGTATAGGTAAACGTTTGTCTCGTTAAGTTTCCTATCCAAAATGGTTTCAAATGAGATTTATTGCCATTGCTTTTCAGTTCGCTTTGGAATATTCCACTAGGAATGTCCAGGAAAATCAGATGGGACTGAAATTAAACATGACACATCAGCTGCTGATCTATGATGGGGTCATAAACCTATTGGGAGGTAACATAAGTACCATAAAGAAAAGGCACAGATAGTCTAATTGATATTATATTTAAGCATCCTTTTACACTCTATACGATATATGATATACATTCCGTCCTAATTGTAACAACTTATTGTAGGCCTTTTGTTTTGCCTTCTTCTACACTACATGTTTCGGCCGCAAACAGCCATCAACAGGTGTATACACTCACTTGGCTAACAGGATCTACTTCGCTGATATTTGTCTGATTTGTACATCATCTTTGTCACCCACACACGTCAATTTTGACATTCATGAACTGACACTTTTAAAATCTTCAGTTCTGATTTAGAAACTCCTTTAAAATGTTTCCAAAATTTAAAATTTATCAGGGTTACTCGCCCCACGTCTATAGTCTAGGGAGCCTACACAGAATAACAACTTACAGTGCTGAAAACAAGAAGTAGCCGCTGCAGCACTATAGACGTGGGGCGAGTAACCCCGAGAAATTTTAAATTTTAAAATTTGGAAAAATTTTAAAGGAGTTTTCTAAATCGGAACTGAAGATTTTGAAAGTGCCAGTTCATGAATGTCAAAATTGACGTGTGCGGGTGACAAAGATGATGTACGAATCAGACAAATATCAGCGAAGTAAATCCTGTTAGCCAATTGGGAAGACCTGTGTTTTTTTTAAATTTTAAACTGGGTGCAATGTAACAGCTACGTGAGTTTATACACCTGATGATGGCCGTTTGCGTCCGAAACATGTAGTATAGTAGAAGGCAAAAAACAGCTACGTGAGTGTATACACCTGATGATGGCTGTTTGCATCCGAAACATGTAGTATAGTAGAAGGCAAAACGAAAGACCTACAATAAATTGTTACACTTAGGATGGAATTTATATCATATAGTCTAATTGATGCTAGTAAGGAGGTGGGTCTATTGTCGTGACCCAAGATGGTGGCGGGTCGACTGAATTATGTTGGCTGAGCGGTAGCGTAATAATTCAGTGATGGTGATGGTCAGTTGGCTGCTGGAGCGTGTATTCCAACCACAAAGAGCAATTACTCACTACAGAGTATAGAGGATTTATTGATTCTTTGTGTATATTACATACGAGCGCTGGTGGAAGTAAGCCTGGCCAGCCTTCTCATAGCCCCAACCCAGACAAAATGCACCCTCCAACTTCCCTCTTTTTCTTAAAACCTCATCTACAACCAAACTTTCAGCCCAATGTCTCGAGACATGAACCCTCACGCAGATCAGATTACACCAGCTGGTGTTGAAGGATAAGTCCTAGACGAAACACTCCAGGACCCCACTAATTTATGGAATGGCAAGGGTAGATATAACATTTTTTTCTTTGAGGAAGCAGGTCAACCTCTTGACGTGCTGTAAATTTAGTAGAGGGCATGACCCCAGACATCAGACTCAAGTTCCTAAAACTAAAAGGGGTTGCGAACCTCGCAACACTATAAGTAAACATGGAAAAAACTAAGTATATGTTGCTGTCTCACCAGAATGCAGGGCAAATTCATAATGCGAAGATGGCTAATAGACTGTTTGAAAATGTGACACAAGTCAAATGTTTGTGAATGACAGTTACAAGTCAACATACAAAACTATAATTTTTCCTGTGGTTCTGTATGGGTGAGAAACTTGGTCTCTAACATTAAGGGAGGAGCATAGACTGAGGGTGTTTTAAGAACCAGGCACCGAGGAAAATATTTGGACCAAAAAAGGAGTTTGGAGAGAACTGCATAATGAGGAGCTTCATAACTTGTACTCTTCTTCAAATATAATTAGAATGTTCAAGTCAAAGATCAGGCCACAGGGGTGAAGAGGAATGCATATAGGATTCTGGCAGAAAGCCAGAAGGAAAGAGACCACTAAGAAGACCTAGACATAGGTGGGAGAATAATATTGTGACATGACACCTGAAAGCCAGAATAGTTCATTGCTAGGCAACAGCTCAGTAAACAGATTCCCATGGAAGTGAACACGTGCAACAATAGAAGAGCTTCATTTTCTGTGGTCCATGTCGCACTTGTTGCTATCAAGTGGTGCAGTAAACACATCTCTGCAGCAGCGAATCAACATGCAACAATAGAGGAAGCGGTATTTTCTTTGGAGGCCATCCTGGTGCCATACAGTGAGAATTACAGGCCATCTGGAATTAGAATTGAGTTGAGTTCCGGAGTTGACAGTTGCAGCAGGGAATTGAGTTTTGGCAGAATAATGGCAATAAAGGACTCAAGCTGTGCAAAGAAGACCTCATAGTGTGATCCAGTTAACAGTGAGATATGAATCCGTTGTCAGGATACACCTAGTGAAGACTGAAGACACTAGTGTGCGTAATGGTGAACTGTAAAGTGCGGAGATTAGCAGTATTGCTATGCTACTTGTAATCATGAGTTGAGTGTAGAAGGTCAATAAATTCAATCATCCAATCCATACCCTGTCTAATAATTATTATAATCACCCCTACACATGACAATATTAAAATGGATCTCAGAAAGATAGGTTGGGGTAGTATCAACTGGATTGATCTGGTTCATGAAAGGGACTGGTGCAGGGTGTGAACATGGTAATGAACCTTCCAGTTCCATAAAATATTGGGAATTCTTGAGTACATGAATGAATTGCAGGTTCTCAAGAAGGGCTGCGCTCCATGGAGTTAGTTAATTACATGCCTTTATCAATTGTAATTTTTTTTTCAAATGTCTGTTATGCATCATTTCAGCAGCCTATGATAATTAGCTCTAGTGCTAGTCTTATCTTACACATTCATGTGTACCCCACATTATAGATGCCAACTGCAGAAAATAAGGTGTGTAAAATCGGAGTCTTACAATGTCTCACAAACACTGTGATAATTATATGTACCATCTGTCTCAACATTTCAGAGTTCTGCATTTTTGCACACAGAGTGTATTTATAGATTTTATATGATTCCCAGAATAAACAGCAGTTATTTCACTAAACAGCATTAACTGGTCAATGTTTATAGGTTTGTTGTAAGAGAGGGAATTAATTTTTAAGCAAGCATAGTAATATTAACAAAGGACAGTGAGGGAAAGCGAACAAGACTACCAGTATTAAAGGTTATATAAGCTTGGAAAAGAACACTATATTTTGAACAGACCAAATCGTGTAGAGGATTTCATCCACTCACAGTAGTTCAGTAATATACGTAGTATGAACTTTTCATCATTCTATCAGATGCTATTACTAAAAAAGAGGTTGCACAAATTAAATCTTAATTGCCATATTTATTATTGTTTACTTATACAAGATTCATTAGTGAATGATGTGTGCATCTTTGAGCCGTGCTGAAGAAACGTCTCCCTTCCATGACGTCATGGCTTCCAGCCATATCTTCCACACTACCCCTTATCATTGTCCTAGAGCTTACACCCTCCTCCTACCCTATACCACGTGGTTTTCCCCTCCCTTCCTTCCCCTGTGTGTCTCTGAAGGAAGTTGTTATGGAACAGCGGCCACAGCAGTGTAGTCTGACGAGTCTGACGGTCTGATGGTGGATCCACTCGGGCAAAGACGTTTGCGGACCAGCAGGAGGAATTTCTAAATTTCAGTTCGACGGGGTTTTTCTCAATCTAGTTTCAGTGTAGTTGGGAGCTGGGCACAGACGTCGGGGTTACTTGCGGTCGCCAGCCATCAGAGGAAAGATATGGCGGCAATACGTGGAGTTGTTTAGTTAGTATATATATTTTCTTTGTGGCTGACCAAGAAGCAGTAGTGAAGTTGTGTTGTGTGTAATGACTTCCATACATAATGTAGGTGGGCATGTCGGCTGAGTTTGATGCCATGAGGTGCAGATGAGTATAGGGCTGAAATCAGCCGTGTATGTTGGGTTGTCAGCGACATTGTATGCCCAAAGTGCTCTATTTTTTTGTATACTCTTGTAGTGCGTTATATTGTGTTTTGTTCTCATTAAATCTTGTTATATGGTCGATCATTATAACTTCTGATAGGACCTCTGGTGCGAGCTTGGATTCCCTGCGACAACCTTAGGGAATATTGTGAACACGACATGAGAGCCTGTGACGATGAACTGCTCCCAACTTCACGAAGGTTGTAGGTGGTAGGGTGAAGACGGGAGTAGCATCAGTTGAAACCATGTATGAGTACTAGTCTGTGGTTATAAGTGATATGCACAGATTTCATATTGTTTCCACCACTCCCACCTTCTTGCTCCATGTGTGTCATCTGAGCATGTGATCATGACTAAGCTAAACTGCTTCTCATCTGGGTCTTCACAAAACAATGTTTGATTTTTTTACAGACAAGAATTATGAAATATAAACAGTGGTTTCTACATGCCTACAATTTAGTTTTTTCAAAGATGTCTTGTTGGAAAGACAAAATTATAAGAACATTTGTTCATGGTTCAGTAGCTACAGTGAAGAGGGTACAGGCTGAATGACCGAGAAATCCACAGTGTTCAGACTGTCTCTGGGTCCATGCAGCCTCCTACCCAGTAAGTCAAGGATAAAGTGGCCAGGATATGAATTTGGGCAATCACCATCTGGTGCAGAGATTTATAACACATGGAGCTGTACCTTTTCCCCCTCCCCCGTATAGCTTCATGGCATGGTACTTAAGTAAGCACAGAGATAAATTGATTTTTACCTACCAAGCAGAAGTCGTTTCTGGCAAAAGACTGATAGGAACTGTAAAAACAACAAGGCATTCTGGGAATTATTCATAAAGCCTCATTTTCAACTACACTGACTTTCAGCTCTACAAATGCTGTGTTTGTGTTATTTGAGGAATGTAGATTTATAATCCAACAATAAATGTGAAGACACTAAAGGCCACCCCCCACCAACTACTACTATACTACTGTTGCTGCTGCTGTTAAGATTAATACTTTAGTTAGTACTTTAATTTTGCTAATTCAATATAAAATCAATGAGACTCCCATCAGAGGCCCCCGGGCCTAGATACGAAGTCATGCGAACTATTCTGATTGTACACTAACCTTATGTAAGTGTTTGACTCGAGTGGGGAACAACTCTAGTGCCACAGTGAACTGTAACGTCATCTTGGAGGAAGAGGTAAACTATAAAGGGGCCCTGTCACCCTCCTCCAAGGAGGAGGAAGAAAACATTATTAAGAAATATACTGAAGCCCTTAGATGTGGAGAGTGGAAATTCAGTTTCAGAGAATATCAAGAAAAGACGAGTGGGGAAAAAACTAACAAACCAGACCTGTAGTGGCATCCAGAAGAGAGTAAGCCAAAAACCATAGGAAGGAAAACTTCAAAAGAAGGCAAAGATGATGCTTACCAAACAAGACAAGCTAGAAGTGAACAAAGATTTGGAGGACATGGAAGAGGAAGTAGAGACTGACCTGGAAAGAGGGGAGGGTGCTCCCACCCAGAACAAGGGGATCCTAGAAGACAAGAATAGGAAAATCCTGAGTGAAGCAATCTCAGACCAAAATCAAAGCCAACGGCTGGTTTACAAGTCAATGAACCCAACATGGGAGTGTTCAAAGTGCCCATTTGCCCTGATGGTTCTGACCCTAAGAGCAAAGTTAGTGTAGTGGACATCAGGAGGATGTTGAAAAAATTAGGTATTGACTATTGAAGAATTTTCCAGGACTTCAGATGACGCTTGACACCGCTCTTCACCTCATGTACCAAAGGGGAAGCACAATAGATCATTGAAAGTCGCAGTGCAAGGGCCAGTTTTATGGCTCACCCCTCATACTCATACTCACCTCATGAAACATGGCAAACAGTCTGGTAGATTGTATAGGGATTAAGGAACACAAATTAGAAGTGTTTATGTATTCCAGCCAGAGTGATAGTTGAAAAGAGAATCATCAGAGGTATTCCATCGGATATTAGCACTGAAGAGCTTGAACCTGTCCCTCCATGATGTCACTGGGGCAAAAAGTTAAGTTCAGGAATTTATCATATGTTAGATGCAGATAGTGGCAGTGAAAACAGAATTATGTGATGAGTTAAGATGATTAAGATACACTAAATGCATAAGTGAGTCTCCTTTAATGAATATTGTTGTGATAACTTTAATATGAGTATATAAGAAAAACCTTGTATTCAACTTCAAACGGTTTTAACACTGAAAACTCTCATCACACTAAACATATTGTCTCAAACACATAACAAATCTTGAAATAGAAGCACAAGTAAATCAATAAATTACACATAGAAAAACTTTTTAAATACGTGTACATAAAATATTTTTGAAACAGAAACATGAATATGAACGATAGTTATAGAAGTCTAATTTCGGAAAGAACATTTCAAAATATTAGAACAATATGCCTAACAATAATGATGACACATACGTTATTTAAAACATGGAACTTCAGGATACAGATATATCAAAGTTTTCACTTGCAAGTAATATTTCTTAAAGCATGACATAAATTATCACTTCATGTAAGTGACTAGTCATGTCAAATTGTAAACTACATTACATATCACAAGAATAACATCAGAAGTCAGGGAAAGAAATATAATAAGTTCTTTTAACTGAAACAAGCTTGTTAATATGTGAGAAGCAGCCAGAAATCTCATGGGCTGGGTTGCTGTTTCAAGATCCCTTTGGTTAGTCATCCAGCTGACATAGCAGTGCAACTCCACGTTTTATCCAGTGTGAAGGAAGTTCCCTTGTGTTCATGAGTATGGGCAAAACATAATTAGTGGAATGGCCAGTGGTAGAGAGAATCCCATGGCGTTCTGATGTCTTATACAATGGGCAGACATAACGGCTGCCAACTTTCAGAAGAGATTTGTCTGTAGGTATAATCCAAATGACTGGCATCACATCCCAGAGAACTTTGGGGAGAGATTCACACAAACATGACCTAAAAGACAATGAAAGTATGTTAATTTCTTCTGAAAAATAAGGAATCGTATATAGTATGCATGAGAGAGATTAAAAATGTATAAAGAGTTTTGGTCAGAAAATCTGAAAGCAAGGGAGCACTTGTGAGACCTAGGCATACATGTAAAAATGAACAGATGTCAAAGAAACTGAATGATGTGAGAGTATGGCTTGCATTCATGTTGTTCAGGATAGGCAAGCACTTGTGAATACAAAAATGAATTTACGAGCTGAGTGATTACCAGCTTCTAAACACAGATTCTTATTCATGGAATATGTTTCTTAGGCCAAGTGACAGTACTTTAACAACTCGTAAATTATGTAACATGTAATAAAGAAGGAATAGTGAGGGATGTTGAAGAGAACTGGCTGTGGCCACGTATCAGCGTTTCTATGATGCAGTTGTCTCAAATAGTATATCACAACCTGATGAAGGTAACAAAAGATAATTTAGAGGGCTCCAATGTACAACCAAAAATGCAGGAAGATATCTGCAATTATGACTAAGATGATTATAGGACAGTTAAGGATGTCTCTTTCATAAAAAAGGAAACAGATTTAGAAAAGATAAAGGTATCCCTGTAACAGGCCATGAAGGCCCATAGGTTTGTGAGATGTAGAGGCTCCCACATTTTCTGTAGAGAATCAGCTCACAAATGGCTGTAAGGTTGTCAGCTTTATGTGCCAGCCGCCCCTTATGCCCCAGGAACATTCCTGGTACTCATTTCTGTTAGAGGCTGAGTCGATCCCAGGGCTGTGGTGAGGCTGGAAGGATAAGGTAAAGTGAACAATTCCACCTCATCATCAGGATTCAATCCTGTGACCTTCGGGCTTGTAGAATAGTGCCTCAACTAACTGCACTACTGCAAACAGGATAACTTGTTAGACAACTGAATATGCATAGTCAAAAATGTTTATGCCATATACTTACACATTTCTGTCCCACTGAGCACCATCAAGAAATAAGCCATTAACATAAACTCCATCCTCAGGTGAACACTCTACTGAATCGACAGACAGGATTTTGAAATTAAATTTAAGATGATCAATGGGTATTGTATACTTTCTAGCATAATTCTGCATTGCTCCTGTGAGAAAAGCCTGAGTGAAAAAAAATCCTGACAGCCAGAAACAATGTGGCTTTCCTTGAATTGCCCATACCTAGAACAAAACATGTTCAAGTACTATACAATATACTAGTACATTTACATCAGGCCCAGGGCTGTTCGTATGTGGAACATGGTGGTAAAGCATCAGGTTTCTTCAAGTTTTTCAGTTACCTACTGCCATTTACCATTCCATCACGTTCCATCCATACTGCGCAGAACAGGCACATGTGTGTCAAAAGAACTTGGTCACCAGTTGGTGTTTCTCCTCATGAACAGAATTCATAACATAAATAGAATGTCTCGTTATTAGGGCCCATATTTTACAGGATGGTCTCTGGACAAAAATAATAGTTTGTATGAACATCTATCCTGGATGCGCCATAGCTCAAGTGGATAGTCGCTGGCTTCCCACCGTGGCGGCCTGGATTCCATCCCGGGTCTGGTCAAGTGGGATTTGTGGTGGACAAAGTGGCACTGGGGCAGGTTTTCTCTGAGTACTTCGGTTTCCCCTGCCAATCTTCATTCTACCAATTGCTCCATGATCACCTTCACCTATATCTGGGGCTGGTACAATAGGCCAGAAGTGGCCACAGTACAAGGGACTTAGTCCCACCCCACTAGCAATAAAAAAATCTATCCTGAGGACCTTCCTCAAAAGTTAACAACCACTATAAAATGTCACATCCTGCTGTCTCATAATCAGCAACAACAGCTTTCCATTTTAGATGAGTGCCTCATAGGCCCTCACATTTTAACATTTTACCATCTTGAGTTATTGGGCATGATTACCGACACACATAGGTGGAATACGGGAAGATGTGTCCTTCACTATGCATATTCACATGCGGTTTCAACACAGCTATGTGTCACCCACATTACAGTCATGAAGTTTGTCAACTGCTGGATTGGTCATGGGTGTGAAACTCCAGTTTCCTGGCCTTCCCACTCACCTCACTTCAGTCCTCTCAGTTTTCTTCTGTGGAAATATTTGAAAACCAAGGTCTATGCCAGTATCATTTATACTAGAGAGGAACTGTGACATCAGATTCAACAATTTGCAAGTGAAATGAAGAATACACTTGGAATTTTCAAACACTTGCTAGTTTCTTTTGACACAGAACTGAGTTGTGTGTCTGTGAAAATGAAGGCTGTTTCAGGCACCTCTTGTATGAAAGTAAAAATGAAAGAAATTATTAATAGCTCTTTTGTTTTCTCCCGATACACAACCTGTTAAATTTAGGAGGTATTTTAGATGTGACCATTGAAGCTGAAATGGAATAGTGGAAAAGTTCTAACTTTTTAAGGAAGGTTCACATGGTACATATAATAGACCTTTATTTTACACCAGGGTTACGTTCCTGGAGATGTCAGCATAAATCACATCGGCATAAGTGAAAGACAAACTGTAATGTATTTCAATGGAATGCTTTCCATATATATATTATAACTGTTATTCTCTATCATAAAATAATACAAAATATATGTTTTAAACATAAATATTATATACATGGATTTATTCTATGAAAAAGTAGTATAAATATATAGGCTGTGGATGGTCAAGGTCAACTGGATCATCTGCCATCTATGGATCAGTTGGAGGCTCTTCCTACTTCTTGTTAAAATAAGAAAGGGGGGTTGTTTGCCTTGCTTGATGCATCCTCTCCTGCACAATGTAGTAGTAAGGCAACAGCAATGCATTTGCTCCTCTTCTAACACAATGGCTCCATTCCCAGTCAAGATCAGTGTCTCCTAACCTCTGCAGGTACCTATCACTTTCAAACAGAACTTCCTGCAGGCTATGGGTTTATACAGACTGTAAAACGGGTTCTTCTTGTTCTTGCTGCTGCTGTTTCTGAGCTGTCCAGCCACATCTTCCAGTTCATCATTTTGGGACAACAAAGGAAATTTCTAGAAAATTTTGAAACCAGTGGATATTCAAATTGGTGTATATCATACTGTCATAAACCAAGGTCCCACTGTATTTGTATGAACTCCTTTCTTATGTAAGATTTCAGGTTCTCACAGCGGTGGGTATGAAGTGTTACATATTTTGAGATACAACGCCACAGAGTCCATTAAAAGTCAAATGATGTTTAAGAGGAACATGTTGCCTCCATCTTCAGGGTTAAAGAATAAGCCAAGCAAGAAATCAGCATGAAGCAAGCTGCTATGCTTGCTACTTGCTTCATGCTGGTATTTCGCTTGCCTTATTCTGTCCGTTGACATCAGTCCACTTTCAATGGACTGCATGGCATTATATCCAAGAAGATGGACTCTGTTTTACTTATTTGGATGTCCAGAAACAATCCTGTGAAATATGTCATGTAATAATGAGACATTCTGTAAACAAGCCTGCCCTGACAAAGCTATTCTTCTTCTATACTCAGCATTCTTATTAGTGTTAAAAATCAGTGTCTCTGTTATCATGAACACATAGATTGCTTTATGATGCTGAAAGCATAAAAGGAATAGTTGTATTCCAATACCTGTGTGGAACAGAAAACTTGGCTGGCATGGACATAACCAGGACTCTACAAATATACTGCTCTATTGTTCCATGTAAACAACATTTGTAATTTGTTTGTATATACTAAGTGAGGATAAGTTCTGTATCCATCTTGTGGATGTCTGCAATACTGAATAAATACATAACAAACCCCACTCACCCAGTTTCATAGTATGCTTCATACAGATTACTTTTATATGCATTAACTGCCTGTTCAGGTGCTAGTAGCAAATTGGGAAGCATATTTGTGAACCCCTGGACTTCCACTAAGGCCTCTATGAAGGAACTTTTATTAGGTAAGTTAATGGCATGAAAAATTTGCCAGATATGGATGTGATATGGTTCCTTACCTCCAAAAACTTAATTCTCTCCAAGAAGTCTGTCATGTAACTAGCCAGTGGTTTCAGGCTTGGGTATGAAACCTTTGACCATGATGTTGGCACTTTACCAACCACAAGAGAGCTGCTGATTGCTTCTAGTGCTGGTGACATTATTACTAAACCTTTTATAGCTTTCAGAAGTGTCTTCATGTCACTGTGCATTGTGTTTAACAGTTCGTTAAATCGCTCCATTTCTTGAACTAATACTGTGTTCATTGATTCTGCATATGACACTGGAAATTTCTCCATTACCATTTCTATATCAAAAGTGACTGGAAGCTGAAAACAAAAACATACATTTACACCCCAGACTTTAAACTTACTAGACTTTCTGTTATGTATAGATAATGATAACAGATACAAATCTTACATATCCTTGATTTAAAACATTAAATGAACCCCTAGTTGTGACCTCAGGGGATACAGAGGAATATTATATCAAAATTCAGATTTCAAGATATTAAATTCAAAATGGAATTAATGGTGACATTTGTTCGGCAATGTTATTTATCATTTTGTAAGAATTAATTTTGTCAACTGTTTTGTATAACTGTGAAATTTGGTATCTTATGAGATCACACATTCAGGGTGTTGAAAAGAAGATCTGGACCTTATAAGGAGGAAGTAACATAGGATGTAGAAAATTGTATAATGAGGAGGTTCATAATTTGTGATAGTTAGGTCAACTACAAAAGCTATATAGCCATGAATGATATGTGAAGTCAATCATGAATGGTAAGCATGGAAAATCTGGAAGGTTGCGACCTGCTTCAAAATAATATGAGAGAGAATCCGTAAACAGATCACAAATGGATATAAAACCTAAAACGTTATGTTTGAACCTGAAAGAAACATTTATTTCTTAACATACCCTCCACACTTGTCCCATTGCTTAAATATAATATATAGTGATACTCTAATCCACAACACTTGTAATGTCAAATTTCTTGGACTAATCATTGATAGTACTTTGTCCTGGAAAGATCATATTAATAAATTAGTAATTAAGCTGAGTTCGGCTGTTGTGTCCCAGGAGAGTCTACTGATGACCTATTATGCCTATGTACATTCCATTATGTTCTATGGAATTATATTTTGGGGCAATTCTGCCAACAGTAATTTAATTTTTAAAATTAAAAAAAAAAAGAACAGCTAGAATCATTATGAAAACTAGAAAAACAGATTATTGTCGTCCATTATTTAGGTACCTAAATATTCTTCCATTTTACTCACAATATATATTTTCAATATCCATGTTTGTTGTTAAAAATATGGATACTTTCACTAAATTCTGATATATAGTCTCCATATCAGACAAAGTTCAGATTTACATCATTCAACTTATAAATTAACTAAAGTCCAAAAAGGTGTCTACTGTTCCAGGATTATGATATTTAATAATTTACCACAGAATCTTAAGAACATGACAAATGATGTTGATAAGTTTAAACATGCCTTAAAGAAATTTCTCCATATTGGCTCCTTTTACTCATTGCGGGAATATCTAGATTGGAGAATAATGGAAAACCTAGCTTCTTACAAATAATTTATAATCTGATTGCTGATCTGATACAGTTTTTTGCGTGGTTGATGTAATCTTCTGTCTTGATTTTTATGCAGCTTTTTGTTTTGATAAGCATGATTTATATGTATTGTTTACCTGTAGAATTGCCTGTATATGTTTTTTGCTGATAGTATTGCGATATGACGAGTCCTGTATCAATGTATTTTGATTTATGGGAAAATGAAATAAAGAAAGAATGAAAGAAGGAAAGATAATTGGTCATAAGCGTGTAAATTTGTAATGCATTTAATTCAGTTTATTTAGGTAATTTAAATGAAATTGTATTAATTTTAAGTATTTATAGTAATGTTCTTTTTAAATTATGTTTATTAATTATAACTGTAAAAAGTTTTTTATTTTATTATCTATGTTAACTGACTAATGTATGTGATTTTAATTGTGTAACTCATGTAATTTATTATATGTATATGGACACATCTATTATCAAAGGGACTATTTCCACATCCTAGGTTTTTTACCTGTATGAATATATGGAAAATAAAGGGAATTAATTAAAAAAAAGAGAGAAACAAACCAACTCAAATGTCATATTCTACTAATTTAACATGACATACAGTCATCTACAGAGCAAAATGTATGTTGTAATAGGTAGAATTTAAACTCTTTTGATTTGTTTCATTTTGGTCTGTCACACTGATATTATGAAAAAGTTAAATAGTTCCATCCAGTGTGAGTGGCTAAGATTTCCGTATTTCAATTATTCATGCCCTTACATGTTTTGGTCTTCAGAGACCATCTTCAGAGGGACGACACGAACCAGCTTGGTTTACGAATTCCATTAGAATCTTAACAAACTAACTATAAAAAATGTTTAAAGTATTGGAACAGCTGCTGTAGTTGTAAAGACTTTAGATTTTACAGCCAATTATATATTGTGTATATTGTATGTATATATTTTAACCTTTAAACGACTAAAGACAACGTATATCGTCGCAGATAGTAAAGGCAGCGGTACGAATGACGCCATGTGGTGTCGCAAAGTCCGCGCGTGCGGACGTTATTTGAAATACATTTTTAAGGTAGAAAATAATGTCCTACTTATATAATTTTTGGCCACCATCTGCATGGAGTGTCTGTCTTCCCACCTGCGTCATCTGCCGAAATGTTGCCTTCGTGTGGAATTCTCAAAAAAATCGGAAATGCAGAGTCCGATTTCGCAATTCACGCACTTTGTCCGGGCGGTCTTTCGTGTCCCACGCGAAAAGCACACACGACACCTCAATTGCGAAGTAGAGCAAGTCGGCCAGTGATGTGGTTTGGCCTTCTATAGTCGAGATATCTCCCATAAAACGGCAGGGGTTCGACCCCTGGCCGTTGATGGCGAGGTGGACCCCTAACAGCATGTTCCGCAAAAGAGCGAGACGAAATTCTCAGTGTGACAACAGGATGTAACTGTTCAGACCAAGGAGATGGAAAAATAGCTTATTTGTCCATTTCCAGGTTCGACAACAGATGCTATAACTGTTTGGCACAGTTTGCCCACAGCTCCACCTGAATAATTATTCACACTCCTCGTGCCACGCTGGTGTGGTGGTCCCCAGGTTGCCGACGAATAGCTAGACAGAACACTTCCAGTTACGAACCAAGCACTCAGTGTAATGAAACTGTATAAAGAAATGTAATCTTAGTGTGCAGCCGAGCCATTCGCCCACTCTTCATTCCACAAGAATTACGTCATGGTACGATCACACTTTGAAATTACGCTCGACTGAACGCTTCCAGCCACGAAGCTATTACGGTGTGTGTTCATACAGTAACACGATTTCATAAAACAAACGCTAGCCTTCAACTCTACAAGAACAGTACACGTATTGTTTAGAAGAACTCTATATGCAACAACACGTGACTTTATATCATTCGTCCACTGTCCACATTCTAGTAGTAGCCAACGATAAACTCTAGACTCAACATCCGGTGTTACCGTGACTTGCACAAGTGTCGTCATCAGCAACTTGCATTCAGGGGTATCCAGAACGTATGAATTCTTGCACAGAAACAAGAAACTGGGAAAATTCTTCTTTGGAGTCAGTGCAAAAATTTTAACATGTTTTATACAATCTGTAAATTACAATATCTGATTCTATATTCTTTAGAGAAAAAAACAGCGTTTATTTCGTTCGTTTATCACAGAAATTGCAGAAATAGGAGCAAATTTAGTAAGTGACTACAGTTTTTACGGATTTCTAATCGCGGGTATTTAAATATATTGCATACGGCTGCCTTTACTGGAATTTAAATGCCCGTAGGATAAGCGTTAACTTTTAGAACATGTACTGTAATGGTGGCTTCTAACAGTATTGATGTAAAGGTGTCTCTAGTATGTCATGGCATTGCTACTGTTTTCTTAGTGTTTAGTATAAGACTATTTTCATAAAACCATGAATGCAACTCAATCACAACCCTACTTATTTTCTGCTGGAGGATCTGTCGATTTTCTGCTGCTAATAGCTTTAGTTAAATTGAGCAAATTCCAATTTTGTTTCTTTTTTCTTTTTTAGTTGCTTCCTATATGCCTTCAAAGAACGGAGTGTATTGCTGTCTTGGTTGACCTTTTCTTCCTGAATCCGTGTTAAGCTTCTATTAATATAGTATTTCTTGATAAAAAAGAAATTAGTACAAATATTATGTTTTTGGACATCATCCATCATCCTGTCTTTATCTAAAATCACTACGCTGTTTAAAAAAAAAGAAAACGTTTCGGAGACTGGATTGTGTCTCCATCTTCAGGTAAAACCTACTCAGTTGGGCCCAATTTTCTTAAAAATATATCAAAATTCCACCAGGTGATCTAGATATATGAACTATAATAACTGTATAATAATTCTACCATTGCCATTTCAAAGATTTTTTTTTTCATTTGTATCCAAAAATATTTTACTTCTTTTGTTTCCAGATAGTTTTGTACATAAATAAGTAACCCTCCAAAATGAGTTTACTGATTTCAATTGAGTGATATTCATGTAGCCAATTTGCTAGTCTTTCTGTCACTGTTCTGTGAAGTGTAGTACATTCACATTGTTAACTAAGTATGCAGTAGAACTTCCAACTCTGATACATTGTTATATGGACTTTGAAGATTTTGATGGCAAACTGATAATATGTGAGAGCTTTTTTTCCTTCCTATTACACACCTTAGTCTTTATCACACTTGTGTTGAAAGGCCTGTTGTCCATAAAAATTATCTTTCTTTGTCACTGGTTGTTTACAAAATCTTTGTGATGATCATACTTCAATTTCCTCATCACTGTAATGTCTTTCCTTTCTTCTTTCACTTCACTTTCTTCCTTACTACGTATCTTCCATGAGGGTTTCCTTTCATTTAAGAATGACAAGCTGTACCTTCTTTCTTGTGACAGTTTTCCTGACAACATTTGATACCCTTCTTGCAATCTTTTCCTTACCAGAGGCATTCATGTGCAGCCCATGCTGAATGAAATGCTCCCTATTTACATGCACGTCTAATGCTTCTATTTGTTTGAAGATCTGTTTCTGTACTTTCGTATTGAATGCTTTTGTGGGAATATCATCAATGATCACATTCAGTTCAGAACGATCAGTCATCAGAGTAATGAGCTCTCCACTGCGCCAAAGAGAGCTGCCGAAACTCTCCAGCAACCACGCTCTGTGACCAGGCAGCTAACGTAGTTGCCACACCTCTCAAGCAACCACGCTCTGCTACCAGACAGCTAACGTAGCTGCCGCAACTCTCCTGTTCCTACCGTCGTACATAGCAGAACATCACTGGCCGGACAAACCAGCTGAATGGCCGTAAAGGCTTGGTCTACTACAAAGGAGCAAATTCTGCCAGCACACTCACAGCGGAACAAACTGCCCTTTTCAGGGCCAGCCAACTTTTGAAGATCGACATTCCACATAGCTTCGCAGCTATTCTGTACATTCAATTTATACAATTTAATATACAATCATTACAGTTTTATGTGGTTGTCTTTTAGAACACTTTCATTTCACTGTTTACACATGATGACACACTGAGGTCATGCCTATGAGAAGCTTTCATTATAAGAATATTTTCATGATTACTGTTTTCACATAATCTGTGAAATGTTCAACATCATCTCTTGAAGCATTTTTTGTATGTCATTTCTTCCTTCCCAAACAACTACACCTTTCTTTGTTAGTTTACTTATCTCCTCTTTTGCTGTGTTTGTAATAACTTTTGAACTGGGCCCTAGGGTTACAGATCCTATGGTTTTTCCAAGGTTTTCTGTCAATTCTGCTGCACAGCCTTTTGCATGTGTATCTCCGACAACAATGACCTTAGATCTTTTTCCAACACACTTTTCTTTTTGTTTTCCATTTACCTTGAATTTACTTGCCTTTGTTCTTCTGATTTTCCTACTGACACTTTGAGGTTAGAAAGTAATGAAAAATTACTGACGCCGTGCTTGCTTTACTTCTTGCTTGTAAGTCTCGTTTCCATATCCTTTTATAACTTTTGTCCATTTTCTTCATTTATTGAAAATTTCCTTTCTTGCTGTCTTTTTGGCCAACTCATATTTTCACATCTGGTTCATTCTCCAAAGTTACCCTCCTTCTGAAGGGTTCTGATGATTTCTCAGGCTGAACTAAGTTCTCACAGCCTTAAGTTCCAGATTCAACACTTCATAACACTTATAACTTATTTCACTTTTCACCTTGATACTACAGTGCAGAATTGGAGTTTCAATTGTATCTTTAAAGAATCCTGTTGCGTTTTCTATATAACTTAATTTTGTTTCCATCTCAACACAACAACTATCAGAATTTCATTCATATTTATTATGTATAATGAGTTTACTGGTCTTTATACACGTAGTATGAAAATGTGCTACATGTTTCGGCTTATGAAACCATCGTCAGGCAGTACACATTAACAAATATTTTCAAACTACTGAAATACACTTTATATGGATTCATATATTACAATGTAATAACTATTACTAACATACCCTGCTTTTCAGTCAGTTAATATATTCAACTTTTAACTGAATTAGTACAAGCTTTATAAGGGCATGTATAAATATATAAACTCATTTTACACAGTAAATGTGAATGAGATGCTATAGTTGTTATGTTGGGACAGAAACAAAACGAAAAAATTACTTCAGTTGTATCTTTATATTCAGTAGCCACCATCTTTCCTGTAACTTTTACTGGGTTAAAACCTCAAATAGGTTTGCAGCTTTGGAAATCTTAGATGATTTGGATATTAACCCTTCAGTTCTGGGCTCGGTGCACTGTAGGTTAGCAGTTTCTGTCACATGCCGCTGGCGTCCATGTAGGGTACGCGTATTGAAGCTCTAAGTTTCAGCTTGTAATTTGAACTGTTATTTTGCATGTAAAGTAATTCTTTTGGTATGAAATTAAAGAGGAAATTTCAGGCTATCATTTCGTATATTCATTGTCCCACTTTGAACTTCCTGCGGGAGTTGTATTACATTTGAATTCTTTGAAAAAGTTTTCTATTTCAACACTTGGTGCGCTTGTTACCACACAAATCTACCTCTGCCTGGGGGAATTCTTATGAACTAAATATGTTAGATTGATACCATGTACTCTCCTCTATCTAATGAAAAGTCAATTCTCTTGAGGCATATTCTGAACTGTTCTAAACTGTGCTGCTTCAACATTGGTATTCATAACTACGAGAAGACAGGTGGAGAATCTATGACTTTGAGACATGATGTTGACTCTAAGAAGTGTGTTATGACTGCTATGTAGCAAATGATAAACAGTTCACTATATGAATGGTACTACTGTAATCCCCCTTTGTTCTTTAAATATGCATCATGCAGTCTGGTTTTAGCTGCCAAGGCCAGCTGTCTTGTGTCATGACCAGTGGATGATATATTTACTTCAAACCAAAGAAGAACAAAGTTTTATCAGATTTGGAATTAGACACTGAAAATGGATGTTTGTGCTTTTCTCGATTCTGTGGTAAACGACAGAATCGAGAAAAGCACAAACATCCATTGGGAGAATATGCAAAACTATAAGGGACAAAAAGAAAATTTCTGAATGCGATGATAATATGTAGGAATAACACAATGAAAAGAATAGATCAATTGTCAATCAAAATTCAGTTAATCGAGGGATTCTCTGTGAAATATGATAATGCTGTAGAACACAAAGTGCCGGGCTGACATTCGTCAGACGAAACAGTGCCACATCTAAGAGAAAGAAATTTTATACACAAGATTCTACCAACGGCAAAGAAATCAAGACCACAGAAGTGGCTTGTTGTGTGTCAAAAACTGTGTACTGGTGTGATGCATGTGACATGGGACCCTGTGTAGAATGTTTTCATGACTAGCACACCAAGCTGAACTTCTAAGGTAATATGATACTATCATTCATCATTTTTATAGGTTTACTGTGCCAAAAAATAATTTTAAAGCAGTGTGGATCAATACACCGATTCTATATACATTTCTGAATGTAGTGTGAAAAATAGATAAACATAACTCCAGTTTTTCGCAATTTATTACACTTTAAGTGAAATGTTGCACTCGCCAATTTAAATATTTAAATATCATCCGGCATAGGACTTGAGTAGGAATTGAAATGCCCGCCGGTGTTGAAGGGTTAATAGAGCTTGGGAAACTATTAGAGACAATATCAACATTTGAGCCAAAGACAGTGTAGGTTATTACGAACTGAAGAAGAATAAGTCATGGTTCATACGTTCAACAAACATAAGAACCACTATTCCCTCATATTATATCTTCTAATCTTTTGAGATTTCCTTACAATGGACTTAAATAATATGTCAGAACTCTGAAATACTCACTCTGCATAGAATGTCTTCTATCATTTCTCTTAGACTTGCTTCTGATTTTCTTGCTTCCCCTTGGGAAGCAATTCCTTCTCCATGCACAAACAAAACTGAATCAAGAAACTGCTTCGTATACTGGAGATCTCTTGTAATCCCTGCATTCATATGCAATCCAAATACTTCTGGAGTAGGAACTGTTGGTAATTCCTACAAAATTGAAGTCATGCTGTTAATAAACATAATTATAACATAACCTCTGTACAGCGACATTCATCCAACTTAAATTGTTACTTCATTATGCAGGATTTTAGACTTCAAAAAATACTAAACAAGCGTCCTAAAAATATACAATTAGAATAATTTATTGATACAGCGACACAATGAGATAAATTCTGAGTGAAATATGTTTTCAATCTCCATCCAGCACTCTGCATGTGCATATGGTACAAAATGTTGTTTGAAATATCATACATCATTTCAAACATCTGACTGACAGAACCATGAAACAAAGAATATATTGATAAGGTACATTTCAAGTTTTTTGTCTATAATTTTCGTACATGCATCAAATTTCATTATTCATACATCAAGACGGTAATAAAACTCATACCGAATTTTCTGCAAAATATCAGATTTCATAGCACCATTAACACCTGTGGTCAGGGAGGGAAGGAGTGTAAACTGCTTCTTCTCATAAACCCATGGGTAATAATGGGTTCAGGATCTATGTCAAGGGATTTGGGGGAACAGCTCACCACATTCAATTCAACTGCCAGACAGGATTTCAGCAGGGTAACCATGAATATACAAATGACAGTGTGATGGCACTCTGACGTGTTGAAAGCAGAAACTGTACTAAGGGAAGCATTATTCAGTTCTGCAGCTTCTTTCAAGAAGCAAAATGTTCGAGTTAAGTAACAGTGTCTACCCCACACAAGAATCCACTTTCCCCAAGAACTAAAATACATGATCAGTACACCAAAGGAATAATATATATATGCCCATCTTAAATTTGATTTTAATAATTTAAAATAATAGTTTTATTCAATTAAATTTAATTTTAACTTTGAGGATCTTGTAAGAAGTTCAATATAAAAAAAACAACCCTACAATATTGATCCATATTAGGTGTAAGGTCACACATAAGATGACTCAGCAATTGATGATGATCCATTAGGGGTCAAAATATGTTATGCCTCAGATATACAACCTTCATGTAAATAGGTCATCTTTATACTTTTATAAATTGGTGTGTTGACTGAAATATGAAATAAATATTTCTAAGTAACAGTATAAATTTTGAATTTCAAATAGGTTTGCAGACTGATAGTTATGGACACAAATAAGGCTTGGGAAAATATTAGAACATCAAAGCTTTAGCCACGGAGTGTCTAAGTTATTTATATAGTAGCTTTCAAACAGTCTAAACCACGGTCAGATAGAAATCTCAAAGTTATTGTGTAACAGGAAACAGTATACACTGTAACTGTTTCAGAACTGGAGCAAAATGAATGGAAATCATCTGAACAATGTAAGCTGTAAACTACTACAATTTCCAGATACAAGAAAAATGATATTTCCATTCTTATATAGTCATTTTTATGAGGAGAAGAACAAGAATCATCCATGTTCCTTTGATATGACACAGACCACAAAGAAAATTATGCATCCAACAGTTCTTCTATTGTCACATGTGCATTTGTTGCTGTGGAACTTGTTTACCTGGCCATGGTCTAGGAATGATAGAGGAAGTACACATACACAGACCCACGGACATACACACTTTCCTTTGATGTGAAATGGATCACAGAAAACAGCATGTCCAACAATTCTTCTACTGTTGTGTGTGTATTCATTTCTATGGGAACGTGGTTTTGGAGCCACTGCCTAGCAATGATGGGAAGGGGGATACACATACAGACACACAGCTATATGGTATCATAACCTTCATTTTATTTTTTGAAAATAAGGAATGGAGACTAAAAAGAAGGGGAGGAGGATATCTGAAAGATAAAATTAACACTTTAAGACTGATAACTATACCATCCAGGTCACAGGAGTAGGCAAGAGAAAGCAACATTTTCCATTCTAATTCCACACTGCGGGTAGGTGGTTCAGACAAGCAAGAAGATCAACTATGCAAGTAATACAGCCCATACAGCTGGAGGACAAGTGCCATAACTTGTTGATGATTTGATAATAATTCTGATGATGATAAATTACTTGTAATGATATATTAAAAGTCTGTGTTATGAACTATTTATAACCTTTACCTTTATGTACTGGACATAATGTCTATACTCATACTGAGTAGGAAGACCATACTGTTTTCCTGCGGTGGAAAATGCATAACTGTCATCAGTAATAACTTCTTCATTGATAAAATCAGCAAGTATAGTATTGAGAGCTCTTCGATCCCAATCATCAGTCACACGACCACCATAATTACATTCCCCAACAAGATATGTGATGGCTTCAAATGGAACATATTGTTGCTCATTGACAAACATCTAAAACAAAGAATATACATATTCTGTTTTATTATCAAATTTAATATGTATGAAGAGTTATTACAAAAAGACAACAGGAGCAATGGTGCTGTGATTGTAAAGAATATGAGAGAGTACAAAAACTTAACTTGCAAACATACAGTCATGTCTGGAGACATATCCTCTTGTGTCCATGTTTAAACTGTGATGTATGTGTCTTTATGATACAGTCTAAACAGGAAATATGAGGAATTGGCTGCTAATAGAATTCATAAATGAATTAGAAATGAAATTGTGTATTCAACTAACATTACAATCACAGTAAATTTTGTGCTTATCTTAATGGATTTTTACTTCCTCTGCTACTCTTGACAAACCTGTAACTGCTTGACAGAAATATGAAAGTCTGATTCATTGAAACCATATGGTATATTCCAACCAACAGAACCAAACTTTCTCCTTTCTTGAACTGCTGCATGGAAGAAGCAGAGAGCATAAAGGAGTCTTGTAAATGTCCTCTCCTTGCCCTGGCAGCCATAAAAGAATTCAGGTTCCTGGACAGGATCTGAGAGATATGAGCGCAGAAGATTTTGCTTCAGCCCTGTAGGAGGTTCATTTGTCATTTTTACTCCAAACTGTAGAATTGAACTTGGGAACTGAAAAACATACAAATAAGACATTAATAATAATACTTCTTCTCTGTGTTATATCACATATATACAAAAAACTAAAACAGACTCCGTGGTTTTAGTCCGCAAGCGAACTATATCAACCAAGTGACCATTGCTTGTCAGCAAAGTTAGTGCCAACTTCTGCAGATAGAGGGTGTCATGTGGTCAGAGTAACAAATCCCCACAGCTGTTAATTTCAGTTTTCTAGACTGGAGCCACCATTTCCTTGAAATAGCTCCTCAATTATCCTCAAGAAGCTGAGTGGACCCCGTTCCAGACCCACTACTTCTCAGAAAATCTGGTGGCACCAGAGATCAAACCCAGACCTCTGGATCTGTAACCAGGAACCCTGACCACTAGGCGACAGAGGTGGTCATCACACATATACAGACATACAATAATATAAAATGGCATAACAATTCTGTATAAACTATGCCAGTGACATTGAGACTCAAGGTTTCCACAGTAGTGATTATGGAATTTGATGCCTTGTAGTTTGCATGTGTGTGCTGCATTTTCTCTGCAACATGAAAAAATTTATGTGATACCACCAGGACAGAGCAGCATGAAGAATGCATACCACATTGTTCCTCAACCTACAAAATTAATAAATATTAAATTTGCTTGACTAACTGTTGATACAACTTCAGTGATGACTAATGTTCTTTATTAGGAAACCACTATATATTCTGACCTCACAGGACATCATCAGTCGGTACACTAACTAAAAACTTTATTATTGAACTGTCATACTGTTTGAAGTGCCATATCTTCTGGGATATAACGCCATGTAGTCTGTTGAACATTAACTGACGTTTTGGTGGACATGCCACCTCCAGCTTCAGGGTCAAAGAATATGCCAAGCAAGAGATTTGTGTGAAGCAGGTAGCAAGCAGAGCTCCACACTGGTCTTTGCATGGCTTATTCTCACTATGAGAACCTCAAATCCCATATACATGACATTTCTTGCTACCTAAATGAAATGTGGATCCAGTTTTCAATAGATTTTGCCCTACATTATATGCTGAAGCTTTAATGATGCTTGCTATTAACATTTCCCAATGAAAATAATAAGAGAAAAAGTTGAATTCGTGCAGTGGGTGATAATATGATATAAGAAGCAGATATATTGGGAAGATATGTATGAGTGAAAACTATATTTTTTTAGTTGACAATGAATATAGAATACATTTTTATCAAAGCAGTCGTGTTGTTAAGAATGCATGCATTGTCATGTTAAAAATGTATAGAGCCAACTAATTAAGTTGAATTGCTGATAAAATTGTAAATATGTGATTTTATGACTTGTCCATTGAAATGTATGATGTTTTGTAATCTGGGTTTAAACCTGAAAAGTAAATACTCCTATTACTTTTTGTTAAGTTCTTTGGATTTTGAATTTTGAATGGCTATTTTTATTGCTTTTTTATTGCATGGATTTCATATACACATAATAGCATGGTATTGCAGAATTTATGAACCTATTGAGGTGGGGTTCTGTTACTGAATAATATTTATTTGTGTCAAATGCATTCAGTTATACTTTTATCGGTCTTTCTGTCCCATGCACACCAAGTGAGATAAAGGAATTTATTTCTGATGACCCATGAGACAAGACTTCACTGATTCAAATGACAGGAAGATATTAAGGATGACAGCTTGACTAGGGGACCTACAGAGAACTCCCATATGTTCTGTATCCCAAAAAGTATGTAAAAAGTAATGATCTTCTCAGTTGTGATACCATGCAGATCAAAGACAGTCAAATGCTTCAGAGAAACATTTGCCTCCATTTTTGGTTTATCATTTGCTCCTGCTGGTTTCTTGCTTGACTTACTCTTCAATCCTGAATCTTCCTGTCATTTCATAATTGCTTCTGCTTGTTTCTTGCTTGACTTACTCTTCAATCCTGAATCTTCCTGTCATTTCCTAACTGCTTCTGGTTGTTTCTTGCTTGGCTTACTCTTCAACCCTGAATCTTCCTGTCATTTCCTAATTGCTGCCGCTTGTTTCTTGCTTGACTTACTCTTCAATCCTGAATATTCCTGTCATTTCCTAATTGCTTCTGCTGGTTTCTTGCTTGACTTACTCTTGAATCCTGAATCTTCCTGTCATTTCATAATTGCTTCTGCTTGTTTCTTGCTTAACTTACTCTTCAATCCTGAATCTTCCTGTCATTTCCTAACTGCTTCTGGTTGTTTCTTGCTTGGCTTACTCTTCAGCTCTGAAAATGGAGGCAATATGTTCCTCCAAAACATCAAGCTGTCTCCAGACTAAAGAGTATTTCAACCCAGAAGACCATAATCTTCAGAGACACTGCTGTGAGAACCTCAATCCAATATTTTAATATTATCTTCCAACCTGTCTTTGTCTAACCAGTACACTCTCTCTGCAGAGGTTTCCAACCAAATCTTCCTTGCTTCCCTTATGTGAGCCATATGCCTGATCCACTTATATCTTCAAACAATCACTATGTGAAAAGTGGTATTACTGAAGTTTCACTTTATGTTACATCTTCCACTGCTGTCATCTTAACCTCTCTAAGGCCCAAATATTCTTCTTGGCACGGCCTGAATCCTTTCACTCAAGCTCTTCCCTCGTGTTAAGGTTAAATGACTGCTTTATATATTTTAATTGGTAGCACACTGAAACTCCATTTAAGTTTTTTTGGGATTAATGGATTTAAACATTAAACTGAGAGAAATCGTAAGAGGTAATTAAATGCTTCAGATCACTGAAATTGAATCTTAAATGAGGGAAAACACTAATTTGAGGAATATTCAATGGTGGTTTCACTGTTTTTAAAAAGGATACAGGAAGATAAATGTGCCATGAAGCAAAGAGTATCATGAACTTAAGCATTTCTTCTATCATAATTTCTTAATATAAATTTTGGTTGAATGCTGTCATTATCTGTTACATGAATTGTCCAATCAGAGACTGTAAAATTAACAATAAATTGTCTGCTACTCTGTAAGAATATGTCTATGAATGTTAAACCTTGGTAGTTCCCTGAAATCAAAAACAATAATCCTTCAAATTATAAATCTTAAATCACCTTGTCAGATGGATAGCTTGTAAGCCACAATCTGAAGTTGATGTTAGTATTTATTGTGTCCATATTTTCCCAAATATTTTCCAGCGTAGGCAGCCATGATACAGCAAGATGACAGTTTTGTAAACACACCCACTGTCCCTCTCTTTGAGCTTGTTCAATCAGTGCTTGTGCAATTGGTCCCTGAGAAGAGTAGCAAACAAAAGAATAATGTGTAGCTGTAAGAGTATACAGAAACATGTGAAATGCAGAGGAGAGTGGAAAGCACAATGCAATGCAACCCACTAAGTTGGTACCAAACAGCAGTATCCTACAATAAAACAAGGACTGATTCTTATACACAAATGAACTTTTAAAAGTTATTAGATTCAAATAATTTTTGTGAGATGTGACACCACGTAGTCTGAAAGTCACACTCTCATTCTACCTGCTGCTTGCTCACTTGCATGGCTTACTCTTCAACTCTGAAGATGGAAGCACGTAATTCCTCCAAACTGTCAGTGATCTACTGGACTAAGTAATGTCAGATCCAAAAAGATGAAAAAGGTAAAAAAGGGTAAAGCTATCCCTGTAACATGCAGTGGAGGCCCACAGGGTTGTGAAATGTCAAGGATCCCACATTGTTCTAGATAATCAGCTCACAGATGGCAGTGAGGTTGTCAGCCTTATGCCCCAGCCGCCTTTTAGCCCCAGGAAGATTCCTGGTACTCATAGTTGTTAAAGGCCAAGTCGACCCCAGGGCTGCAGTGCATCTGGAAGGATTAGGTCAATTGAAAAATTCATTGAGCTCTTCTGGAATCGAACCCACGACCTTCTTGCTTGTAGCATAGTGCCTCAGCCAACTACACTACCACAGGCCTGTCACATTGCAGAAGATAGTACTCATAATAATGTGACATGTTGCGCAACGGAGAACCCCTCCCTACCCAGCAGCAACGTGGCAACTCAGGCCACAGTGACGTGGCGGATGAGTCAGCGCNCCCCCTCCGCACGGTAACGTAACACGCAACGCGTGGTGACATAAGACGGCGTGAGGTAACAGTGTTGCTATGTAACAGGCACACACAGCCACTATATAAGAGAGCTGCGCTGCCTGCGAAGAGTTGTTGAAATGTGGTCATCGCCGAGTTCAGTAGTAGTCGAGCCAGTGTGTTATCAAGAGTCCTCAAGGCAGCAGCCTGCGAGTAGAGTTGGAATCTAGCCAGCGCCGAGTTATGAGTGAAAGTGTGTGATAATCAGTGACAGTTTGTGAACACTGGGAATTGATTGGGAGTGTGTGATACAGGGACACTTATATAGCTCCCGTACTGTGAATACGTGTAGCCTGCGAGTTGAGTTGGAATATAGCAACCGTCGCGGAAAGAAGAACTGGACGTGTAACTGTGTAATTGGGAGTGTGTCAGACAGAGAGACTTGTATAGCTCCCGTACTGTGAATACGTGTAGCCTACTGAAGATAGAGTGAACTGATTTGCGAATAGGGTTATAAATCGTGAAACCCCGCAACAGTGTTAACAGATTATTGCGAATAGGGTTATAAAGTGTGAAACCCCACAACTGTGTGATAATTAATTGTAGCCGTTACTTGTAGGTTGTTGAATAAACCAATTAACGATATCTACGGCATCTTCAGTAACCCAACACGTTACAATAATTAAAATAAATATAGTTCTTTATATTTTTAATGAGATGTGAAGGAGTGAAAGAATCCAATTACAAGGGCATATGAGAATGGCAAAGATACTCCTGGTTACTTCAATGGTACGGTTAATCATTTTTCCTAACCTATATATAGTCAGTGGCATTTTCATTATAAGCTGACTTTTTAATCACTTTTGTGTCATGAAGGTGAATTCGTCACCATAAGCATGTTCATCATGTATCAAGTCTGCATGAAGCACAAAACTGATATCTGCTCATTTCTAAAACGTTAACATGGAGCAGAAACATAACAAGATCAAAACACACTCAGTCACAAGTGAAGAGAGAAGTAGCCATGATATTGGAACACTGGGCATGGGGGATATTTGGGGGATTGGAAGCAATAACAATAAGAACTTATGGATAAAAATAAGTAAAAGATGTGCCAAACCCTATACACTACTAATATCACTAGTCAGTTCACACTGAGCTAAGTACGGTGTAGTATGTACCCAGCATAATGCCCATACAAGGAAGTGCACACAATTTCATTAAGGACTACAAGTACCACACAATTTTATTTTGATGAACACGTGCATGTTAGTACTACACATAACAACCAATTACATAGCTTCAATATACATTTACATATCATACCCATGGATATTATGACCATTCACATGTGGAATCTTAACAACATGGATCTATGAACTATATAATGATGTAGTTTAACAAGACATTGGACAGTATAACTCTGAAACTTGGCATATATAATTTTATTAACTTTAATATTTTTTATTATATTTATATACAGGATGTCCAAGGAGTTTGGTGCCATACTTCAGGAGCATACTGAGGGTTCCCTATAGAACAACTTTGAAATAGGAACCCATGTCCACAAACGTAAAATAGCAGAACTAGGGCAGCATTTAAAATCATTTCATTTAAACTTGGCGCCTCAATGTCGAACTGCATTGCATAGAGGAACAGCCATCCACCAGCACTTGTGCCGTTGCCAAGATTGTGGGGACATCAAGATCAAGTGTTTGGAGGATCCTGCATGACCAACAACTTTATTCATATCATCCAACGCCAGTACAAGGCGTAGGTTCAGCTGACTTCATACCACGAGTTCAATTTTGTCAGTGGATACTGAACCAATATTTACATCAGCTCAACTTCCTGTATCACGTGTTATTTCCAGACAAAGCGCAGCTTACAAGGGATGGCTGGTTCAACTGTTGAAACAGTCACATGTGGGCTGACAAAAACCCCAACATTACTGTAGTTGGTTACTGCCAGGCACAATTTTCTGCCAATGTCTGGGCAGGCATCATTGGCGATCACTTGTTTGGGCCTTTCCTCCTACCACAGCAACTCAATGGGCCCTTTTACAAGGTGTTCCTGGAACGTATCCTTCCAACTTTGCTAGAAGACTTTGATTGTGTGGGGACAAATCTGGATACAGTATGACATAGCACCAGCACACTTCAGCGTTGTATCACAAGACTACCTGGATGCTGCTTTTCATGGTCGTTGGATAGGAAGAGGAAGCCCAGTGCCTTGGCCACCCCAATCCCCAGACTTGACACCTGTGGACTATTTCGTCTGGGGCCATGTGAAAAGCCTGATCTATGATATGCCTGTGGATAATGAATTCGAGCTGTTGGCCAGAATACTTGTTGCATATGATGTGATCCGCAAGACACCTGGAATATTTGAAAGGGTGCACCAAAGTTTCTTTCATCGATGTAACACATGAGTTGAAAATGGAGTGCGCCAATTCCAACATCTAGTCTAGCAGGTGAGTCTTAAGAGCTTGGAGGGGGTAATATATCTGTGCATGCTCTTCGACATTGAGGCGCCAAGTTTAAACGAAATGATTTTAAATGCCGCCCTAGCACTGCTACTTTACATTTGCGGACATGGGTTCCTGTTTCAAAGTTGTTCTATAGGGAACCCTGAGTACACTCCTGAAGTATGGCACCATACACCTGGGACATTCTGTATATATATATATATATGTAGAAGGTGGTTCAAATATGACCGGGACTGATTTGTGTGTAAACAAGCTACACTGTGCAGCAGCTGTGTGACCTTGAGAGAGTGAAGCCACAACCTCCACCCTCCCTCTTGTTTGGGTTAGAACCTGTTCAGTCCTGTCTGGGAGTTGCTAGAACGATGAGCAAACAGAAGGTACTGCGGAGCATGGAACAACGCATTGTGATTGAATTCCTCATTGGAAAAAATGTCCCGTCTGCTGAAATTCACCACAGACTCCAATAACTGTATGGGGAAGAGTTTCTCTCATGGACCCATGTGTTTGAGTGGTGTAAATGCTTCATAGAGGGCAGAGAATGTGTGGAGAATGAACCGCATGGTTGTCGGCCGCGATCATTCATCACCGAGCCAAACACTGATCGTGCAGACATGCTTATTCGTGAGAATAGGCGTATCACTATCAAGGAACTTAGAGCAATGCTATCCATCAGTGTTGGTAGTGTAGAAGACATCATGAAATACCACCTGCACTATCGCAAGGTGAATGCATGGTGGGTACCACGCACTTTGATGGACGTGAACAAAATGGTGTACATGCAAGCTGCCAGTTGTCTCGTACAGCAGTTTGAAGATGAAGGTGATGCATTTTTTAAGTATATAGTGACCACCGATGAAACGTGGGTGCACTACTTCATTCCCGAATCCCAGCAGTCATCATGCAAGTGGCAGCATACCAGTTCTCCCAAACCCAAGAGAGCGCGGAGGAGCTGTTCGGCAGGAAAAGTGATGGTAACGTTCTTCTGGAACTGGCAGGGGGTTATCCATGTAGACTTTCTGAGAGATGCCAGAACAGTCAATGCAGCTTATTACTCAGACCTCCTGGCAACAGACATGAAGGAAAAGTTCCGACCCAAGCAGAAGACAGGTGGAAAGCAGGTAGCCTTCCTTCAAGACAATGCACACCACCATACAGCCAAAACAACAATGGAAACCCTCCAGAAATTGAAATGGAACCTTCTGACATATCCGCTGTACAGTCCCAATTTGACCCCAAGTGATTTCTACCTGTTCGGAAGGCTCAAATCAGACATGCTAGGCACGCTAAGGAATTTCAATATGCACACTTTTTGCTATTGAAATGACTACTAGTTACGTGAACTAAATTATATTACCTGCCCTTGTCCTAGGGATATGTACTGGAAGTTTCCAGAATATCCCATCTTCTTTGCAAATATCATCAAGGCAGCCATGGGATCTGCTCCGGGAGACAGTATGAATATCAGAGGGCACAGACAATTTGAATCATCATAGGATTTGGTAATATCAAAAGCTGGTGGATTCACAAACTTTGGACCCATTTCTTTCTCAATGAACTTTGTAATGCACATGATTAACTGAAACAAAAATATAGCCATCAAATAATTCCTGTACTTCAATTTCATGAAAAATCTTTTATGTAACTAACAAATATGCCAAGCATTACTAATACAATATTGACACTGTTGTGCCCTGAAGGCCGACTCCCGGTAAGATGTTAAAAGAGTATTTAAATTCTTTTATTTTAGGGGAAAATGTTGGCTAGAATAGAATAAGTATTTTGGGAATTACTAGTAAGACGCATGAAAGAGAATGTAAAGAAGAGTTAAGAAACTTCAAGGTATTTCTACATATGGAATTAGACGGACGTTAGCCCGAGACGTGTCGATGCCATATCAGCATAATGACGTTGAAGGTATATCGAAATGTTGGCTCTACAGAATCTACACTTGAGTGATGGCGGAACGTTTGCAGGTAAAAGTGCTAGCCAAATGGACTAGCAGTAAGGGGCGTGTCCACCCCCAAGGATCCCAGCCAACGAGAGCTAGCCACTTGGGGCATAACGTCATTGTAGGCGGACTTGCACCCTCCGGGAAAGTAACGAGTTAGCAAAGAATAAAGGTATATAACCCGGGGAGTGAATTAATATGGGGACGATTCAAACAGTAATTTTGGGCAGTTTTAGCCAGAAGCTATGCTGGAAGAGGCATCGACTGGATGCCGGACAACGGCATCCGTCTGCAGTCTCAACGCAAAGTAAGTGGAACTACTCTTATCACCATGCTATTTAATTGTGATATTATTAAAGTGTAACTTCCCCAATGGGACATGAGTTAGGAACGTTATGACAAGTGTACAGGGCATAAGAATGACTCATTTGAGGGATGCAGAGGTAGACATGTGTAATATAGAGGCTGCAGAGGGTGTATCTAGATGCAGGGAAGATCGCTGCAGGTATGTGTAAAAGATATATATATATACATGGATGAGTAGAATAGGGAAAAGAGGAGACTAGTGACCCGCAACTGGGTGAAAGGAAGGCAAAGATGAGGTCCAAAGAATCGCCTAGAAAGGTGTAATATGTAATCTGACACCAGTCGGCTCTCCATAATGTATATAGCTGTATATTGATTGTTTATAACCAATATAGGGTACATAGGGTGAGATTGTGGGTTTTTGTTGATGTGATTTCCTTCCTTACCGCATTTCGCACCAGCTCCCTCCTGACAAGCCCTGTGAACTGAGCGCCCCTAGCCAATGAGGCAATGGCCGAGTAGGTAATTTAGCCGTCTTCTTAGCCATCCCCCCCCGTTACGGCAGTACAGACACAAAACACACAGCTGCAATAACACTTCTGTTGCAAATAATCGTCCTAAGGGAAGAAGACAGATCATAGGTATTTAAGAATAGGGTGCAGAGAAAAATAATTGGCCAAAAGAGGGAGAAGGTAAAAGAAGGATGGAGAAATATGCATGAGGAGTTTCATAATTTACACTCTTCACCAAATATGGTGGTGGTAGTGTCGGTGGCGGCATCATCATCATCATCATCATCATCATCATCATCATCATCATAATCATCTAATATTAAATTGCTTTATAAAACACCCTTTGTGGGCTGGATAAATTGAGAATCTGTGTACATGAGCCACTAAACAATCATGACCAGTGATTATGTGAAAAATTGCCACATCTCCTCTTGGAAAACAAAAAAAAACTCTGTGGCCTGTCACCGCTTGTTGGCAAAGTTGGTGCCAACTTTAGCAGATAGAGGGTGTTTCATGGTCAACACAACAGATCCCCACAGCCGTTAATCTCGGTTTTCTAGACCAGAATCACTATATCCTTGAAACAGCTCCTCAATTATCCTCACAAGGCTGAGTGAACCCTGTTCGAGACCCATTACTTCTCAGGACATCTGGTAGCGCTGGGAAGCGAACCCCAGACCACTGGATCTGTAGCCAGGAACTCTGCCCACTAGATCACAGAGGCAGACCCTCTTGGAAAATCAGGAAATATATTTCTGTTCTTGACTATTCTGTCAAAGAATTTATGCTGACTTTGGATGGCATAATATTCTGATAAGTCATCTTGAATACTTCTTATTCTTAATTCAGCAGAGTGGAATGTTAGTTTACATGCAGACGTTTGACTAATCTTTGTTCCCTTCTTTGCTAAGTAGTCTGCTATTTCATTACCCAGAACATCAAGGGAATGGTATCCACTGATATTTTATATCCCTTTGAAGGCCTTTCAACAATTTAATGGATGAATGAATTTCTGTTATCCTTTCACTAGGAAGTGCATCCTAAAATTGAATCAGTGAATCTTCAAAGGACCCATTTCTACCAAAGAGTTCTATTAATGCAGTGTTCATTGCCTCTATCTCACCACCAAATTGTGTGGCAAACTGTTCTAGAGGCAAGTAGAAACTAAACAATTTTCAGTAAATTTCTTTTCCATTAGTCCCATTCTTGACTGTGAGAGAACCATCTGATTTGTAACCACTGTCATTCAGGATATAGCATATGGATCACTTCTAAAGCTGCCAATTTCACTACTGATGGATCTGTACATATGTTTTTCTTTCTATTTTTGAAGGAAGTCTATTTTATTGTCTATTCAAGTGTAGGCTATGGGACAAAACGGTTGTAAAAGGTTTTCTGGTTCTACCTAACGTATGTACTTTTATCATAATGGCACAAAATTCAAGGTTAAGTCAATAAGTAAGATAGAAATGGATATAGAAATTAAATAAATAAGAGTACTGATTTGAAAAATACTTTTATTTCTCAACATAATCCCCCTGTACATTGAGGCACTTTCCCATCATTTCACAAGCCCCTGAAAACCAGCAGCATAAAATTCTTTGGGCTGCTGTCAGAACCAGGTGGTGACTTCCCTTTCTATACAGCTTTCTACACCATCACTTTCTTGGAGGATGGTGTCACTTCAAACAATTTTTTGGCAGGCGACGCAGGATGTTTCCACTGCATTGATGCACACTTTGTCTCGGGCTGGTAATGGTGACAATTTGGGCTAGCATATCATGTCCTTCATCATGGCAGCAATTGAGATGCTGTAATGCCAGACCCCTTCTTTGTATTTTGTGTTGTGGGGGTCAGCATGCGTGGCACCCATTGTGCACAGACTTTGTGAAACCTAACCTGTCATGCATTATGAGGTAGGCCATGCCGTGTGAACACACCTGGTTCCGACAGCAGCCCAAAGAATTTTATGCTGCTGGTTTTCAGGGTCTTGTGAAACGATGGGACAAGTGCCTCAATGTACAGGGAGATTATGTTGAGAAATAAAATCATTTTTCAAATCAGTACTCTTATTTGTTTAAATTCTATATCCATTTGTAACTTACTTATTGACTTACCATTGTATAATAAACTTCATTTGGAATTAAGAAAATCAGATGGATATAAAGACTTAAAACATAAGCTAAAAGTATTTTTACTTGTCATCCATTCTATATACTGTATGAGTTCCTTTTAGGGGGAAAGTAGTAAGCACAGTAAAACCTCTATTCAGCATATATATAAAAGTAAAGCTATCCCTGTAACAGGCCATGAAGGCCCATAGGGTTGTGAGATGTTGAAGTTGCCACATTTTCTAGACAATCGGCTCATAGATGGCAGTAAGGTTGTCAGCCTTATGCGTCGGCCGCCCTTTAAGCCCAAGGACATTGCAAGAATATTCCTGGTACTCATTTCTGTTAGGAGGCTGAGCCAACCCNGGGCCATAGTGTGGCTGGAAGGATTAGTTTCACTGAAAAAAATCCAATGACCTCACCGGGATTTAATCCCGCAACCTTCCAGCTTGTAGCATAGTGCCTCAACCAACTACGCTACCACATGCCTCCAGTCAGCATATATATAGGAATTATATCAACCGTCAACACAACAAATATACTCAGTGTTAATATTCAATCTTCATTGCTGCTACATGTTTTGCTCATACAAGACCATCATCATGCAGCTATGTTCAGCCAAATATGATGATTAAGAGGGCTGACGCCTACTGTAACTTCCTCAGGAAACTTCATAAGGCCATTCAATGCACACGACCAGGACCCCTCACCAAAGGTGTGTTGCTCTTGCATGACAATGTGTGCTCCATAGTGCCATTAAGACAAATGAGATGTTGCAATATTTCAAGTTGGAAGTCCTTGAGCATCCTGCGTATAGCCCCTGACCTTGCTCCAAGCGACTTCCATTTGTTTTGACCTCTTAAATATCATCTTTTCACTGAACATTTTCCTGAAGATGAAGCTGTAGAAAGGGAAGTCACCGCCTGGTTCCGACAGCAGCCTAAAGAATTTTATGCCGCCAGTTTTCAGGAGCTTGTGAAATGACAGGATAAGTGCCTCAGTGTAGAGGGAGATTATGTTGGGAAATATAAGGGGAAGTCAAATGATAACAGGTCACCACGCATAGCTCACACAGCGCACAAGTTGGTAACACTGGAATTTGCTTATGGTACGAACATCTGGTGGGGACTTGAGAAAGCACAGTGACAACGTGCCCTTGCACACTAGTCGTTTGTTTATAGTGCTGGAAGTAAGTGTGGTCGTTCAACATCAGTAATTCAGGCGGGTAAAGAAGAACAGCGAAGAGTAGTGCACTTTTTGATGAGGACGAGAAATTCATCATCGCATGTCTGTTGTTTATGGCAAACACAGCATGTCACGTTCATGTGTGCTGACGTGGCATATGAGATTCTGAGAGGAACGTGTGTCACTGCAAGATGAGGCTCACCCAGGACAGGCTCATTGTGTCATCACTCCTGATGTTAGTGCTGTGTTGGATGGTCATATCCAGGCAAACCGACGGATCACTGTGGAAGAAATTAGTCTTTTGATGTGAATAAGACACGGTTCAATACACGCCATTGTGACAAAACACCTGCTGTACCGCAAAATCTGTGCACAGTGGGTTCCACATCAACTTATGGAGGAATTGAAGACTCAGAGGATGGCTACATCACTGGGTCTCTTGCAACGATACCATGAGGAAGAGTATGCTTTCCTGTCCTGTATTGCCACTGGGGATGAAACTTTGTGCCACCATTTTGAACCCGAGAGCAAACAGCAGAGCCAACAGTCGGAACACGTGAATTCTCCCTCACCGAAGAAATCCAAAGCCGTACACACAAGTGTCGGAAAAGTGATGATGACATTCTTCTTCAACTGCAAGGGTCCTCTGCTTGTCAAATTTCTCAAGCATAGGGCCACAATCAGTTCACAGCGCTATGAAGACACTTCACAGATACTGAGATGTGCCATAAAGTCAAAACACCCTGGAATGCTATCGAACGGCAGTATCCTTCTTCATGATAATGCGCGCCCCCACACTGCCACCTCTATGAGGAATATGCTTCAACATCCCCCCTAGAGCCCAGATCTCTACCCATGTGATTTTCACATTTTTGGAGACCTGAAGAGAGACATTTGTGGACATCGGTTTGCATCAGACGAAGACGTGTAGCTGGGTAAAGATGTGGTTCCATAGACAGCCCACAAGTTTTTTCAAGGATGGGATTGACTGTCTTATCTCCTGGTGGGATAAATGTATTAACAGTTTTGGAGAATACTTTTGAGGTAAGAAATGTTCTTTAATATGTTTTGGCTTCTAACCCACTTTCATTTGACTTCCCCTCATAAAAGCATTTTTCAAATCAGTACTCTTCTTTGTTTAAGTTCTATATCCATTCATAACTTACTTATTGACTTACTAACTATGTAATATTAGGACCATGAAGAGTTGGAAGATGAGACAGGCAGGCAATATGCTATGAATGGGTGAGAGGACAAATACATACAAAATTCTGAACATAAAACCTGAAGGGATGAACCATTTAGGCAATGCAGGTGGGAGAATAATAGAGAAATGTATCTTAAAGGAATAGGATGGTAGTTTTATGGACTGGATTTATCTAGTTTAGGATAAGGTCTTAACACGGTAATGAACTTTGGAGTTCAGTATGTCTAGCTGAGCAACTGTAAGCATCTCAAGGAGAACTTGTACAACATGCAACCATCCTGAACTATGTTCAGTTACTCCACCAACCTTATCTGGACGGAAAACTCTAACGATTATTAGTTCTTGAAAAGCTGAGAGACATTTATTCCATGGATGTGGTAATACCGCATTCTCAATATCTGGGCTGTCATAGTACTGCTGCCACAGATTTACAGAACTAATGAAGTTGTCAAGGAAGCCTGTCAACAAAATACACAAGTAACTATCATGAAGGTGCTTAATACAATACCCTGATCCATACCTTTACAGTGTACAATTTTTTGCAAGAATTATTGTGCTTGTGACAAATGCTACAATGGTTTCCACATGAACAGGTTGGAGAATTCTGACACTGTACTTCAGCAGCTGTTTTCTCAACAACTGTTTACTGGAGACAGCCAATGATTTCTAACTGATTTTAGACATGGAGATCTGAGTTATATTCTGCAAAAATATGACCAACCATTTCATTTTCATTTACACCTACATAAAACATGAGATAGCATAAGTTTGATTTGTTTCATTCTGGTCTGTCACACTAACAATTACAAATATAAATCACTCCATCCAATGTGACCTGTAAGTTTTTTTACTACACGAAAACTTAACACCCTTACATATTTCGGTCTCTGTGGACCATCTTCAGAGGGCAAACATCACTACAAATAGGAAACCACCATCACATAAGTTGTTTAGACATAAGGTACATACACTTATATGCTACAATGCATAGTACACAAAATAGAACATTTAACAAACACAGCAGTTTCCTGTGAATGTAAAGTTTTTAAAAAATTATATAAAATTTCTTGATGCTAATTAAAAATTTTTTGTATTGTCAATAATTAAAATTCGTAAACCATGCAGGCTCACAGCACAGCAGCCACGAGCAAACACTGGACGATATAAAGAACCTCCACATCAAGATAGCCAGGTGGCACAATATCTGCCCCATATAAGAGGGACGATGGGAGGACGAACACGAGCCTGCACGGTTTACGAATTTTAATTATTGACAATACAAAAAATTTTTAATTAGCATCAAGAAATTTTATATATTTTTTTAAAAACTTTACATTCCCAGGAAACTGCTGTGTTTGTGAAATGTTCTATTTTGTGTACTATGCATTGTAGCATATAAGTGTACGTACCTTATGTCTAAACAACTTATGTGATGGGGGTTTCCTATTTGTAGTGATGTTTGCCCTCTGAAGATGGTCCACAGAGACCGAAACATGTAAGGGTGTTAAGTTTTCATGTAGTAAAAAAACTTACAGGTCACATTGGACGGAGTGATTTATATTTGTAATGAGATAGTATAATTCAACATATCATTGTGACATTTTTTTTACAATATTGCCCGTGGTTCCATGCTCATAACAAGAACTTCTGGGAAGAATTAATCACCTACTTTCTTTTCACTGCAGTGAATCTGATATAAGTAGAGAAAAACTTTCATATGTATGGGTACTAAAGTCAATAAAACAATGTTATAAATTTGACTTTTACAGAACCAGAATTGTGCATTAGTGACACAATTTAAAGTGGCAAAGCTGTTGCCAGAGATAAGTTTCAAGATGAATGGCTCATGCATTTATGTACGTAATATTAAGGTTATTACCTCAGCAATCTGAGAGGCAGCAGTGCTGATGTTATTGATGAGAAGGACTTATGAAGTGAGATACTGAAATTGTCTCAGGTGGCATGATACACATAGTGAGTTTCACGATGATTGGTTCAGTCATTCCAGAAACATTAAGGTGATTATAACAAGTGATATTTTATGATGATCAGTTCAGGAATTCAAATAATATTAAGGTATGACCTCAACAGTTTGAGAGGCTATAGTGGTAATATTACTAATGGGAGGCAATTATGAAATATGCGCCATTTAGATGGCTTCAGATGGCATGAATTAGATACAAAATTTCATGACAATCAATTGAGGAATTCAAGTAATATTAAGGTTATTACTTTGACAATTTGAGAAGCTGCAGCTTTGGTGTTCCTCATGGGAGGGATTTATGAAAGATGTAGTGAAATGGCCTCAGGCAGTGTGATATACAAACAGAATTTCATAAAGATCTGTGCATACATTCAAATGTTAATAAGGGTTGATACAAATACAGACCAACAGACACACACACACACAAAACAGCAAGGTGATTCCATAAGCCTACTTTTTCTTTTAAAAAATATTGAAAGAATACAAAAAGTACTAGAATGGGAAGTCCAAGAAAGGCTTTAAGAGCAGATTATTTAAACTTCCCCAGGATTCCCGGTGCCTCAATCTGGACTTACGAAATTTTTAATTTACAATGGGAACATTAGATAACAGAGTTACATTAAAGAATGTTAATTCATTTGTATAGGCTTATTAATGGCTTTCTTGTATGCTCAATTCTATTTATGGCAGTATCAGAATGTATTTAGATACTATCAGTACTCCTGGTTCATATTCAGGAAGTCTCAGTTTAAAGCCCAGAAGCCCACTAGCCTGACCAAAGACGTTTCTGCTTTCCCACAGTCTCTGTTACAAAGTAATGGGGAAGTATCTTGAGACATGTAATGACCACATTGGCATCATGAAATGCCATCTTACCACATGATAATATATAACCAATAGAGTTAATAAAGCAAAGGTACATGCAGTGGAACCCCTTGATATAAAGATTTTCCTACTTTAAAAGTGAATTTCAATGATCCCAAGTCAATATTTCAGTGTCAAACTTATTCTTTTTACAGTTTTCCTTAATTCACTCTTGAAACGATAAAAAATCCCCAAAGAAATAAAAAAATGAAGGTTTCACTGTAGGTGGCCTGATGTTTAGATACATGCAACAGGCAACTAAATGATTCAGAGCATGCTGGATCAAATGACTATACTGCTGGGTAACGGTCATGAAACAATGCCCATTGCTCATCAGAGAGGATGTTACATAAGGACTATTACAGCAAAGGTTCAGCTGAATAGAAACATCTCTGGTTATGGGTCTCAAGGGGCTTGACAACAAGATGAGCTGATTGGTAGTAAACTACCAGTTATAAAGTAACTGTGACTTTGACTTGAATGAGTACAGTTGAGTTCTGCAGGGGAGGCTGAGGAGAGTTAGCACTATAATTCAGCTGGCAGTTCAATGGTGGGGTGTTAACCAGTGGGGAACAGCGTAAGCACAGAAGCTGAAGAATCTCCATTGTTAAGATCCATGACCAGGAAATGACTAAGGAAGGCTAAAGAGGCTGGAGAAGACTTAGTGTAAGCTTAGTAAGCCGTAAAGAGTTTAGATCAGCAATGGTGCTGTAACTGCTTGTAGTTCCAAGTCATGTGTATAAGTGGTCAATATCCATTCACCAATCCAAACCCTGTCTATACACACATACTCTAAATTGTAACAATATCATTCAGCAGTTTTACATATAACAGTTTTTTAAATTAGCATTTTTATGGTTGCAGCAAATATTTAATTGACAATGTTTTGTTTTTGAAACAGATGTGTCATAAATTATAATGAAGAAGAACTATCATTAAATTGTTAGCAACAATGGAGAATAGTTCAATTGAAATGCACAGTGTTACACAGATTTATGAATAATAATCATTGATTACAGGCTTTTGTGTGGATTAAGAAACTTGAAGAGGGGAATATATGACTTTGCTGTCCAGCAACTATAAGATTTGAACAAAAGAATGCATCCAGTCATGACCTGGCATCACAGTTAAGCAATGAGCACTCTTACATAATCTTCAGATCTTGGGTTCAAATCTCAGCCTGGAGACCACCTATCATAACAGGTTCTCATACTATTTTCTCAGGCCTTCCTGGCAGCTGTCAGTATAACACCTCAAATTAGGCCATGCCCACTTCCTTTCACATCCTTTTCTAATTCGTTATTCACTAACAATCATATTATTTGATTCTATGTAATTTCAGCTACTGACAGTACAAGCACAAGTAAATAATATAAGTAAGACCAAAATGAAGAAAAGTAACTGTAAAATGTAAAGTTGTCCATGTGCTTAACACCATGAAGGCATGTGAGGGAATGGATGTATAGATTCACATCTGCTTGATCTCAACACTAGCTGGAGGTGAGTTGACAGCTTCATGCCCCAGCAGCTTTACCCCTGGAGAAAGAGCCCCCAATACCCATTGGACATGAGGTTGGGACTGTAATGGTAAGAAACAATTATTGGGGACTGATTTTGACCAATGACTTGAACGAAAAGAAACAAAAAGAAAGTCTGTACACTGTACAAGAAAATTTTACTGGCAAGCAAAAAAAGAAAAACAAAATTTTCCAAGTGTTTTTACCACAATTGCTGTAAGAATAATAAAACCCACTCATGAGAATTGTGCCCTTCAGTATGACAAATGAATAAAATGGCAAAATCTCTAGAGCGTCTGAGATTGGAGAAAGTGTAATTGTCAAAATGAAACATTAAACCTGGTCCGCTATTTTGATTAAGAAGGAGTTATCCATTAAAAATTTACTCTTCCAAAGCAGTGAAATCATTATTCTGTCTTTCAGTTTTGCATAATTTACAGAAAACATCATGCATCTTGCAGAATACTACACCTTTCGCCAGACAGTTGGATTTTACATCATGACAATGTTTCTTCCCAAAAGAACTTTTGGTAAAGTGATACATAGTTGAAAAGAAAATATTACGCTACTAGGATTTGTATTTTCACAATGATGACTGTGCGCAGTATCATTTTTTATGATGTGACACTGTGTAGTCTGGTAGACGCTTACCAATGTTACAGTGGTATGCTGATAAACATCTACCAGGCTCCATAGTCTCATAACCTAAGAAAACAATATTCCTTAAAAATAACATTGTCAGACATCCATTACAGTTGCCTGATTTAGTTCTGTCTGATTCTTCATGTCCCAAAACTAAAAATCTAACTAACAGTGTTTCATATCACCTAGCAATATTCAGAGTCATGCTTTCAGAAAGTGATTTCCAGCTGTTTTCAGGAATGGCATATATGCTGGAATGTGTGTGCCAAATTATTTCATATTATAGAGGCAGTCTACTCATTTTTTTTCTGATTTTTGAAGAAGAAATAGTTTTAGTAGTATCCAAATTAAAAGGCAAAGCTTCTGCAGGTTCTGATGAAATCCCAGATTTTCTAGTAAAAGCATGTATCACATGTATAAAAAACCACTTAATTTAATATTTAATGAATCA